ACAGCAAAATAATTCCAGTTCATGAAAATACCTACCTTTGCTTTCCACAAAACTTCCAGTATTGCTGTCAAAGCCGCGGGTGTAATAAGATACGTTGGACCGCTACAGTAATCGGGCAGGTACTTTTCAGGGTATAATGACTCAGGTATGTACCTGGAAGTTCTTTGAGAATTTTTTTTCGAATATTCGCCAAACTCGAAATGTCACAACGATAGCTGAAATGGTTAGTGACAAAGAAGGTCTCAGTAAATCATGGATGGATAGGGAGTCGATAGATATTATCGATGATGGTGATTACAGATTGAACATATCTTAAAGTTAATAAGGACTACTCCACAAATGGAGAGCGATTGATCATTTGGCAGAGTCACGGAGAACAGATTTACTATAGTAGAAGCAAGTTTTCCAAAGGAATATGAACGAACAAAACACTACCATTTGCTGCCAGGATCACGATTCGGTAGGGTGTTATAGTGCACATAGCACATAATGGATTTATCTTCAGGATATTCAAGACGAGTGTAAATCTGCAATCAGAAATATTACGCCTACAGCTCCTGAGCAGTAAATGAAGCTGACGATTTACTTCAAGCAAGCTATGTATACCATGTATGACACAAGGGAATTGCATTCATTAATTCGATAAAACAGAACCTTATCAAGGAGAATCACCACATCAGAGTCGATTTTGAGAACGTATTTGTGCGGATAGTTGGCAGCAATGTAGCGAAAGGCAGCCAAAATCTGAACATCCACAAACAAAAATCTGTAGTGACCCACACTGTTAATTTCGTAAGTACAGAAAAATCTAGGATTTTACTGTGGATGTAAACATCTACGCATTATTATACGGTACCAGCGCAGCTAATACCAGCTTCGTCAGAAACGGCACTGCGGCGTAAACCAAGAATCCACAGGTTTGTTCGACATTCTAATCTATTTTAGATAGATTTTGGTTGGCAAACAGGAGTGTTGAAGCACGACATTGGCTTTTTTCCCATTACCCTTCACATTCGCGTTCACAAATATATTTAGTTCTTCATTTCTGAAATTTACTGGAGTGCTGGTCCATTTGAAAAATTACAATAATGAAAGGTTGAGTCCATCTTTTCTAAGGTTCTGTTATGCCAGAGCAACTGTCAAAGGTTATCTTTTCGAGAAACGACATAATTAAATAAATAACCTCAATCATATCCACTGAAAGAACTGAAGGAGAAAATGAATTTGGAAAATGAAGAGAAAACAATCGATGTGTATTCATTCCGTTGTACATATATTGTGGGTACGGTGAAATAATAAAGCCCATGACCTTAAACTAGGTGCAACTATGGAGCGATTAAGAAGGCTAAACCTTTAAAGTTAATCGACACACCGCTGAGTTCTGTTAATATGAAGGAAAATCGAATAGTTCCGAATTACATCGGAAGTAGGAAAAAAGAAGTGAAATCGAAGGAAAAGTTACCTTATAAACAAGATTGTTATATGAGTCGGGCACATCAACTTGCAGAATATCATTATATTTTCGTATTTCGTCTCTAACAGTAGTAGAGATGTAGCCAGTGCCAACGAGGAATAAAACTGTTATGGACCTATTCTGAAAAAACGGGAGCGTTTTATTTTTCTTCAAAGTCCTTATTGTCTTCAAAAATATCTGCTCAAAAAAGCTATCAGTGCTTATAAGAAAAGTTAGAACCTTGAGAAATGCCTTTGTCCCCCTTGGTTTTGGCTGCTTACCTCACGCAGACTTGTCTACGCTCTCAATAAATAAATAGTCATCTCCGACAAAATAGTAGGATAGGGCGAATAGTAGGTCAAAATATATGTCTTACTGCACTTTCAATAACCATTTGTAGGATAAATATCAGTCAAAAAAGAATATTCAGAAATTAGATGATCGTCATCGAGCACTTACACGAACAGTTTCCGAGAATAGTGGATTCGCCCATGTGCGACGGATTGCGTAGCGAATATTAACATCATTCGGTTTCGTACACACGATTACTATGACCTCCGTTTTTTTGGGAATTGTCGGAAAAGTGAGATTGAGGCTGAAATAGGACATTCTCGTTATAATTAGGAATAATCGTATCTAACAAAAATACTGGAATTGAGGGCAACGCATGCAAAATGCAAGACGACGATGGGTTACATTAGGTAAGGGAACTGGCAAGAGGCCGAGGACCGCGTAACGACACGCATTGATGCACATCCGTTGTTTTTACATAGCATATTCAGAACTCAACAAAATTTCTGAACAGTAGCATAAGGGATTTGACAAAGGATTTATAGCACATGGATGAGTATACATCAAGAAGAGTCGTAACGAACCCATCATAACGTTTTAGATCGTATTCTGCACGTTGCGGCTGCGATTTGTAGGCTGCCGTGGTCCTTCAATTTTACGAGAAAATGGATAAAAATGTGTCATTACAACTTTCAGAAAACTTGTTTGGACCGCGTCGCAGCCGTTTACTGCATTCGAAGTCGAGCCCTTTTTTATGGACTACTTATTCATTTCAACCCCATGACATTCGCCCTTCAGACACCTGGACTGAACTTGAGGAGAGGATGTGCACACTTTCCTCCAAGCACTCGATCCCTCTACCAGTTCCATCGAATTGCCCCGATGACCATTAGTGAGTAAATGGGGTGTCCTTCAGTCTCCTTCTGATTAAAAGAAACTAGGTCATGATGCTTTCAAATTACAACATGCAGTGCGTCACAGGCTGCTTTCATACTTCGATGTGCGTGCCGGCACGCACGTCGCAGTATGAAAGCAGCTATAACAGAAGAATACACTAGACGGGTTCAAAATATTACAAATAAATCCCGCACTGAACCTTACGTCTGATTATAATTAAATAATGATATGATGATAAATAAAGGATAAATAATGATAATTAAATGAATAATAATTACAATTATAATGCCCCAAATTCCCTACCGCACTGAGAACTGGGACTCATTGTCGGGGTTTTTACAGTTTTGGAACCAGATCTTGAAAGCTTAGACCTCTGGAAAAAGGTCAATCGTCGTCGATCTCGAAGTCAGACCGAGGAAGTTAACAAAAGACTGACTTCGCAAGCCTTAATTCCAATTTGATAAAAAAAATGTAGGCAACACGAGTGATGAAAATGTTGCGGCGGAGGTTTGCTATACGTATTGCCTGCTTCATTAGTATGGTTCGAACCAGTTTGGATCACGAAAGTGCTCAGTGACCAATCTAGCTGATTCACCTACCCTGAATACTAACCCAATCCTTACCTGAGTGAGATTTTCTAGCACACTGTAAAAAAATGTTTAAGATTTAAACATTTCTTTTTGACACCGAACAAATGAAACTTACGAATCAGCATCACGAAGTAGAACGCTGTAGTATAGGGTCCGATTTGGAGGTCGATCTTCAGCAACTTTCTGTCTGAATATGAACTCGTTTGATATTAGACCGAAGATACCTGGAAACATTCTTTACATTGCTAAGATTGATAGTATGAAGCGCAGATTTTGAAAGAACATATTCGATTAATTGTAAGAGACTTTTACATCATTTGAGAATATCATTGGACAAAGTGACAACTTCCGATTTCCGCCAAAAGTGGACCAAATAGTGGCAGACTGTAGAGTTTGCAGCCCGTAATGGTGTTTAGAGACGTTTGTTAGCTTTTTTATGTTATAACTGTGTATTTTCACCTAATTTTAGAAAGGGGGCTCCCGGGTGGGTGAGCCAATTGGACGTTCAACTTTTATCTCATCTAAGCTTTTTGCACAAGATAACCATCTCACCTACCCCGGAGCCCCTGCCCATCACAAAAAAAGGGTTTTAACGGCTCAGAAGAAGACTATCCATAATATGCAAGCATATTAACATGCGCCAAGAGTTAGTTTGCTCTGAATCACGAAACACATCAGTACAACGTCACCATTCCTTCCTAGACTCAAACCCACTACTATCTCGCTGAGAGAGCGCAGAGTGCCGCGCCGCGTGGCCCCCCAACCCACTTAGAATGCATTTTTGAATTTGAATTTGAACGAATGAACTTTGCCTTTTGCCCATCTACCAGCGCAGTGTAGAAGAGGGGACCGACGCAGAGTCACGGAATAATAATGGGCTTTCATAGTAGAGCGTTGAGCGCTAACTGCTCACATGTCAACCGGTGGCGCTCGACAAAGCCCGCGTCCGTGTCCATACCACCGAAAGCGGTCTTTGAGTTGGAGCGTGTTATTTTTCCAGCAGAGCGGCTCAAAGCTTTCCCGTATTTATATATCTTTTCACACTATGCCATGGAAGTCAAATAAGAAAAATCGAACCCACATATAAAAAAAGATAAAAGAAGTGAGTAACATGGCTAATTAAATTCGATCAAGAAATTATTCAATGCCGCTCTGTGCGCTTTTGCCGACCGGGTTATCTGTAGAGCACCGGCGCTCAACGCTCAACACTCTACTACGAAACTACCTGTGGAGGAATCCCAATCAATTATTCTTATTTGACGGATTTCTCTGAAAAAAAAAGTTACCCAGTCAGTAAATCACTCTATCATTTTGAATGATGTATTTTTAGAAATGAGCGTTTCTCGATACATCTTTCTACCCGAAACGCTGAAAAGTCAATTCATAACCAGGCATGGAATTTTTCACTTTATGCCGTAAAATCAGAGATGTAAGTACTTCTCCCCGGAAACCGCTTCGCACTCACCGTACCCGATCGCGCGCTATGAAGGAAAGGATATGAACTCCCAGTGAAGGGATACGGTAGCCGGAACCACTGTTTCTTGCCTTGGATCTTCGGGGAGACGTATCGTCACCCTGAACCGGGGAGTTCTGCCGTATTTTTCTGCAGTGCTATCTGCATTAATCACACGAAAAAAAGTTAGGAATTGGAAATCAGGAAAAAATTACTATAATAATATATTATAAATATAAAAAAGAAGGAAAAAATTAAAAATATGAGCTTCAAGACATTGATAACACGAGGCTGGTGGTGAATAATTAAAATACTCACCCGTGCTGATAACGATTCCACGAAGAACATGCAATGTTCTGGTTCTCGTCACTCTCGAAATAAACCTCATACTAAAATTATGTATCTTATAAGAATAGCTCTTCACTCGTTTTACGTACCTTCATCTGAAAGGGATGAATTTTCCGTGAAAAGGCTTTCTAGATCTAGGAATAGTAAACAACAGAGACAGGGATAATCCGTGGTGTAATAACAGATTAAGGATTGGAGGGACAAGACAAAGTGTGCGGAATGGGAAATAATGGTGGGATTGTTGCATGGGAGGGAATAGTGATTATTGACGCTTTATCTAACTTTAAATGTTCACTTCTGGAGCTTCTCCAAATAACCGGAGAGCGCCCGTTGCTACGTCCTGTCTATTTTGAAGGTCCCACATAGAATACCGATCAAAAACTTTTCCATTTCACATTTTTTTCCGCACAAAACTCCGTCAATCCATCTAATTTCTAGTTTTTCTGCTGGCTAAGTTTTTCTGCTGCTTCCCTTAGGAATACTCAGTGGCCCCAATGGGTGGTAGAAAGGACCCTCCCGCTCCCAAGATCTTGACGGTCAAGGCATAGTGGGAAGCCCTGTTGCTGGCTTGAGTGGCTTTCCCGCCCCTCTATCGGTGTCACGTTAGACGAGGGTCGAGAAAATACAGATTGCTATTATTCGTACTAGGACCCACACGCAATCAGCTGATCGCCAAGAGGCGATGTTTTTCACCCATTCTTTTTTCCTCTGTTATTCTTTTTGCTACTGCGATCCCTTTTTCAATTTCCTACTCCAAGAGGCTGAAAAAGGTGAGCCATTTACTTACCGTAATCAGTTATTTGGACCAGGACCCACACATACGCAAAGACGCACTGTGCGTAACTCCTTCATGCGCCCCATTCTTTTTCTTTCATCTGGTCTCATTCTCGTCCAGCCATCTTTTTAACGATTTTTCGAAGCCTTTTTCACTTTGGAAACACTGATTCACGCTGTTCCTTCGCCTTCATCGTACTATTTTCCATCTTGTCTTTCATTTTTCGTCATAATACGGGTTACCCAAAATTGTCGTGAACTGTGCCTTTGATATACCACAATGCAGATAGAGAGTTACAAATCGAAAATATGGTTTTTCCACTGCGAAAGCCGCAAAATATTATTTCCTACCTTATTTTTCTTATTTTCTAAAAATTGGTATTCGGATTTCTAGTGGAATTTCCGGTATTCTTAGCATGTTCAACACAAATTCGAAGCTTCTCTTGTGCCGATAATGAAATCGTTGGGTTGAGGATTGTGATACGGGCTGCGACTTGGATACGATACATAACGTCAGCGATTCGAAATATTATCAAGATGCTAGTGGAGACCGAATGCTCTGACAGCAACATGCGGAGATCTTTGATAGGACCACTATTGAAGCTCCAATAAACAATGCAAGAACTTCAAGCACCAATATCAATCATTAACCGGAAAATTTGCATGGCATCATGGCATGGCACCTTTAATGATTATTAGATATCTGATAACACGGGGAAGGTCGACCGCTGAACTCATGGGACAGCCACTTACAAAAAAACCCCCGATAAGAAGGGCAGAATCGCAAGGTCCTTCTGAGATGGAAAATAGTCCATGTCCATGGGCCAGCTGAAGGCTGAGCAAAATTTTCGCACATGGTGAAGGCTAGCTAGATTTATCTTAATGAAAGAGCTTGTAGTACAAAAAATAATAACAATAAGGCTACCACCAGAGGGGTGACATGTTACAGTGTAGGTGCTTTTCTGTGGGTGGTGTGACCCCGTATATAGAAATGAAGGCCACATGAATGAAGAGGGCCATAAAACATCTTTGCGAGCGTAGGGTTGCCCTTTATGTATGACTGGATTCACCAGAAGAACAAATACGACAAACCGACACAATCCTCGGCATGACGCTCGTCGAGTTTGTTCAGGGAGAGCGACCAAAATGGCCTAACCTAGCAAATCCACTGATTTATACAGTCAAGAACTTACGAAAAGGGTTTTGAAGGGAAACGAAAGGTCAAGTTTTTGACTGAGAACATCAGTCAGCTTGAGCATGCCTGGAACTTGGCTCTGGTCTCAACCTACAGTAGGGTTCGAAAATCTTCGGCCAAACGCTCTTACGCTTTTTCGTTCATAACTTTTTTCTTAGTTTAGCAAATCGCGCGAAAATTCGAGATGTTCAACTCAAACTTATTTCTCCCAGTCCAACACTACTTGACTGCAAAGCAGCCATATCTACATACTAATGTGAAGGCGTTTGTAGGCTATGCTGAAAGCAAGTTTATGACGTCTGCAGTTATTCGGACCCTATGTGCGTTTTTCTCCTCTACTGTGTTCGGCATTAGCGCTCGTACACTTTAGACATGAGAAAAGGGAAAGAAATTTCGGAAGGGCCATCATCCCTTTTTTCAGTTGTTTTTGAGTTC